ATAAGGTACAGTGATCATTTGTCTTGAACTTAAGCATTGTATTTGGCCAGCCAGTTACTGTCTAGAAACAATGGTAAGCTGTTGAAGAAGATTCAACGAACCCTAACCAGGCTGACTCTTTTCGTTTGATGTTATCGAAGAGTTGGCGTAAAGGTTGTCGGTCAGTTGGGTCTTTACGTTTGAGGATAGCCCTTCGTAAATTCTTAGTAAGGTTCCAAAACATCACTAGTAAACATACTAGGTGTGATGTACCTGTTAAAATCGGGCGGTGTTACCTTTATTACTGCGGAAAATCGCTCACGCAGGTCAGCCACGCCGTGCTCGCGGAAGTCAGCTTCTGCGTAGCAGAGAAAAACTTCTATATTATCGTGCCGAAATGGCTTAGCTGAATGAAGGGGACCAAAAAAGGTTTATTCTTAAGTAACATGAGTCTCTATTCCATCATGATGAAGATATACTATACTATAGGGCAAAAACAATGACAGAAAATATGAAAACAATATCACAATAGGTATAAATGTAAATTTGAAAAGTGAAGTGTAATGTTCCAACAAGGTACAGACTCATAGTTTGCATTTGGTGTATCAGATCACGTGAGTCTCACCACAAAAGATGCCTCAGGTATTTGGATTTTGATAACGCTATTACATGTAACACACTTATGATCGAACTATTCTAACCCAGTCAAATAAGAAGTCAGAAGTAAAGTTGTTTGAAGACATTTGAAAAGCTATAAATATATCGATATTCTTTCAATCAAGGCTGGCTATCAGTTACAAGTTATGTGTAGCATGGCGTACCCACTTGTGATCTGGTGAGGATAAATGGCTGAAAGCCTTCGGCTAGACGTGTCGAGTAAAAATAATGACCTTAGCATCAATATCGAAAACCTGATGAACTATTTATTTGAGGGATTCATTTTCCTCTATACACGTACTTACCCATGGATTATTATACTCCTCTTAGGCCAGCCGTGTCAAATACATATCTCATAAATTACCATGGTTGCCATTAATGTATAACCACTTCCTATATCTCTTGCTGTTACGTTCTTCCCAATTTTATTTTTTCAGTTCTATCTTTTTACACATTATTGATCAAGTAATTTAACTACTTATCCTTGAAACAATCATCTTTTATCACTTGAGTCATTAACTTATCCTGCCTGGTGGTATGGTAGATGGTGATGTACAGAAATCGTAACACTTTCTATACCCTCAAAAATTACGGAGTCCCTGATATTCGACGGTATACACGACGATTTATTATTCACAGACTTCTTTTCACCCCGTCAGCACGGTTTCGGAAAAGGTTACTCTTGTACAACTAACCTTCTGACTGAGGTTGACAGATAAATAACCATCCTTGATCACAAGGGGAGGGTTGACTACATTTACCTTGACTTATCAAACACTTTTGATAGGATCAACCATTTATATCTAATAAGCAGGCTCAGACCATTGGGTATCAAAGCATATTTAATTATTTAGCCCACTTTGTATATAGAAAATCGACATTTTAAAGTCAGGGTTGACTTCACTTTGTCTCATACTATGGAATGTCGTAGTGGGGTCCTCCAGGGTTCAATACCAGGTTTTCTTCTGTTCTTCATTTATGTAAACGATCTTCTACAATAGGTATTTTAGCGACTCACGTGCAACTGAGTTTATTCTCATGTAACTCAGTTAAGCCCTTTTGCTAACTTATTTAGCGGACAAAGTCATCCGTACTATAACAACTTATTGTACCTTTATTATTGTTGTGCTTGTATGAAATATGTATGCTTGAACAATGCTTAACGCCTACCCATATATTCACTCTGCTAGCTTTATTATTAGCTGCTTAATTGATTCGATGACCCATTCATTTCCCTATATATACATGTACACTTACACTTCTCTACTCTGGGTTAGCTGACTCACTCATTCGCCTCACTGGTTTGCGGTCTGAGTATCTGCTAATAAAACTGTGTTAGCTGCTTCTCTTTACCTCCTGATTTCAAACACCGTTGAGGATTATATGGTAACGGTTACGAGGGTGATTGGTTAACGAAGCACAGCCACTACAGTAACGTCAGACTTATTATCTTTTGCTCATGATGTGAAACTTTGGAGAGAGTTACACAACCAAGAGGATAAGCTGGCCCTTCATGTGGGTCTGACTCGACTTCAAAGTTGAGCAAATGACAACGGACTTACCTTTGTCAATTCAAAGTGTACAGTAGTCCAAAGGCGACTATATGTGATATTTATAAGTATTGAATTATAGTATGAACTAAGAATCCCAGAAATAACGTAATCAGATCAAGAAGCACTAGATGACCACAAACGAATGTACTGTATTTAGAATTCGAAATCAAACATTCAGTAAGTACAAAGGAGTCATTAGTTCATTCGAACACCATATCCGCCCACAGCTTATATTGGAGTTTCAGTGTCTGTAGTTAGTTGTACGTCTTCTTCTTAAGTTCATCCTGTGTCTGTCCGACATTGTATCGGAAAAAACTCTGTATTATCTAGAATGTGCTCATTAGTATTAGAATTAACAAGCGAAATCGGAACGGACTCACCTGGGATTGCATACAATCAGCATGTCGGTTTTGTACTGAAATCATTAATATCTAGAACTCGAACCATAGATTTTTCAACACTATCCTCCCCTACGAAATAATGTTAGATCTTTATATCCCCAAGTTATGCATGATGTGGCTTCATTTAAAACATATTTCTCACATTGATTAGAGTATACATTGGAAGTGGATTTGTGATAAGGATGAACAGCAGTTGGAATGAAATCATCGGGATTGTAATCAAAATCGAGGTCATTTAGTACTCGTGCTTCGCATTTAATAAGTTTCCCACAAGAAACAAATTCATTATGAGGACAAATAATATTTGGTATGACATCAAGATTTGACTCTTCTGAAATAGTTTCCTCAAATTTATTAAGAATGTCATTGTAGAGCGAAGGATCATTAGAAATATCAACGTCTATCAAGGCTGCATCAGGTTTTCGATCATGACTAGGTTCATTCAACATATTTTCTTAATATTTGCAAGAAATTTCGTCAGAAATATGTGAATCATTAGGAAAAACCATATCTGGTACAATAACATGAGAAATCTGATAAGTCGATTGATATGAAACTGTTGTCTCGCAAAGATTCCGAGTTTCACTTAACTCTGAACTGCTATATGACTGTACACTGTCTTTTAAAACCGTTGGTGAAAATAAATGATCATTATAATACTTAACTTGATAGAATCAGAATCACAAGACTTAACATTAGTTGCAGCAAGATGAACAGTAGTATTACAGACTGACTGAATATGTCCAATATCACCACATCTAAAGCACTTAGAATTACGAAATTTATATGAATTAAAAGAGTGGAACTTGCCACAGGACAAACATTGGCCAAAATTGTGCCCATCTTCGTGAACTGCATCCAAACTCAATGAATTTTCTGCAAAACCTTGAGCATGCAGTGGATTGGGATGACGTAATGTGGTGGAATTTTTTATATTCTTATGAATCATTTTCCAAAATCTTCCTCCTTTACGACATTCGGAATTTGTATAGTGAACAGAGTCTAGCAGTAGATCCTCGAGAATTGTATAAGACAGCGAAACGGGCTTTTCCGGTAAAGCCAGAGATTTTAATAAGCTATATGCTTTTTTCCGATGCATGTGAAGAAATGTGCTACAATATTAGCATCCTCATCATCTTCCTTGGTCAAAGCCCAAATTTCGAACTTTTCAAATTAATCCTCAAAAGCTTCAGAGGTTGAATGAATATCTAAATGTTCCATCACAGCTCCATCGCGACGCCAATGTAGTATTTATAAGTATTTGAATTATGGTATAAACTAAGAATCACTTTGGAGATTCAAATTCAAGCCTTATGGAGAGCACCTCAATCACTGAATCTTTACTCATTAGAGCACAGGTGTCTTAGAGGTAGCCTAATGGCTTACAGCACCCTAAATACTTCTGAATATTACCTAAACACCTATTTAAGCTTAATCCCAACAAAAAGCTTAGGGGTAACACTCAGAATTTGGAGACTCAACACAGAAGAACGGACTGTAGACACACCTGAAGATGTGACAGGTATTCAGTGTTTGACAACGCTTCTACCAGTAACACCTTCTAGTATATTTCGTTCCCACCCAGAGAAATCAAAAGACAGAGTCGAGGAGATCGGAAGAGATTATTTGGCGATTACCAATATATCGGAATTCTCTGATCTAATCTGGCTAGCGATTGCGGTAGATGTTGAGCACGGCGTTACCACACGTGATCTGGGCGGATGCCTGACCGAGCGCCTTCAGCTAGATGAGTCCACTAAAACATATGGTCAGCATCCAATGTCGCAAACTTAGAGAGCTATTTATTTTGGGGATTTATTTACCGCTACACACCTTCTACTTCACAAGAGTAGTCAAATGCTGGACTTCGCTGCCGGCTGAGCTATTTCAAATGACTTATCAAGAATCGTTTAGAAGAAAACATGACATTCCTAAAAACTAAGGATATCTTATTACGATTTTTTTCTCTTTCCTCTTTTGTCGATAATATACCTAGGTTTATACCTTGAGGTTTTCGTAATCCATTGCTACTAGATACAGAAGCCTGTTAATCAAAAGCTTCTTCTATTTCATTCAAAACCATTTAAACTATATCGAACTACATGGTACACAAATCTACAAATAACTGCCGCGCTGGCTATAGATAGTGGCTAGAATACCCCCAATAGGACAACTAAACACCTGGAATCGTACAAAAGCGTTAGCAGTGAGTACATATCAATTAATTGATTTATATAAGCTCATGACAAGGAATTCGAGGATATATATTGGAATACAGCTCGGTTATCACCCTTCGGTTATTGACCTGAATGACCACTGATATGAGTATGACCAGTCCAAGACTTGAAGCTGTACATAAACGACAGAGAAATCAATCGGTTAAAACTACTTCGTTACGACGATATTGGATATTGGTTTTATTGTTACTGTTAACCTGAGTAACATATTCGAAACCTAACGCTATCAACTCATGGTTTCGCTTGTCAGATTGTATTGATTTTGCTCTTGTGTTATTTATAATTGTTATTTATTGGTTTCAATAATAAATGTAAGTGCATTCTATGTATTTACTGGATCATCGGCTCACCTTTTCCGTCGTTTCCTCTTCCAGATTCTCTCAAACAATACTCCTCACACTCAAGGTACATTCAAGCTAGGAGCGAATCTGCCAGATGCTGTTTGTCACACCTGTCTGACCATTAAGTCTTCAGGACTGTATTGTTTTTGAACGTAAGTAATGCTCTATAAGTGGTTTACGTGATGTCTCGTAAATTTATGTTCTTTTTCCTTTTTGTCTTCATACGTTCCCGACTTTAGGCCTAAATGGACCAATTTCGGGTAAATTTCGGGACAAACCCATTAGTTATTCTGTGTTAATGTCGATGAAATTCAGTCAACAAGCCTAATATTCTCGGAAAAATATCTCGAAGTCGTGATTTTTTCCCCAAAGTAAATAAGATCCCTCAAAATCTTCACACACATTTGAAATATGCTATGAATCGCTAGTGGAAAATCCCAAAGAGGATTCTCTTTACTATCAAGTTTTGATATCACCTATCTGTTACATTTATAAGAACCTTGCATGTTTGTAGCTGATTGTCTCGTCTTTGTTCTTATCACCAAAGCCATTAGGTCGCCTACTCTCTATAGATCTACAGTGACCGTGTACAGTTACTAAAATGCAAGTGAACGTCGTTTCACCAGATTTGATGAATTGTTTTTGGCATTCTATTGGATCTAAAGCCTGATCGATGTAATTCGGTCTCAACCGATCAATGCCACAAACCCGAATGTTTGAGCGTGCATTTTGTTACTGAATTGCTTTAAGCTGTTGTCAGTTGCCTGGATCCTAAAATACAGTTTTACAAGCCATAGTAGGGGTAAACTTAGCCCGAATCATTGCTGTGCTGTATGGGAACAGTTGGGAATCTTACAGTTTATTGAAGTTCTAAGATGATGCTTTACAATAGTTCGTCACAGCTTTAATATCAGCGCCCTCTAAGAATATGCTACTGTTTAATGAGGTAGATCACTGTCCATGATTTTCGTCACAAAATCAATGACTTTATTATCATAAATGAAGTCATTCAGACAATACACACAAATCATTCAGTGACACATGATTATTGCTTAAGTTACTCATAATCCGTCCCACACTTGCATCTAAAGCTCGTACTGCTAGTTTTTGCCGAAGCTTATCTTTTATCTCGAAAAATAATATATTGTTTCTCTTTTTGTTCCTAACAGATTTTTATAAAGGCTAATCAAGCCGTTAGAGTGAAATATGTGTGTGCTTTTCACTTTCCAGATATATAATCCAATAGAAACCATTCTGGAGAATAAACGTACGATGTCTTCAGTGATTTCTGACAAAAAGTGGAGCAACCTTAAATGCATACTTGGACGTTCTGGTCCGTTTCATCGGTCAGAATTCGAGCCGTCAAATGAAGTTTGTGCAATTTTTAATCCCGCGAAATTTCAAGCTCTTAAGCATGGTTAGAGAACATGTGAAAATCCTTGTCATTGGAGCTGGAGGTTTGGGTTGTGAGCTTCTGAAAAACCTTGTAGGTTTACATCTTGCGACTATTATTAAGTGTAGGCTATGATGGGGTTTTGTCATCTGGAGGTCATAGACATGGACATAATCGATATTTCCAATTTGAACAGACAATTTCTGTTCCGATCTCACGATGTCGGCAAACCGAAAGCCAATGTTGCAGCTGATTTTATCATGCGCCGCATTCCAACATGCAAAGTTGTCCCACACTACAATAAAATTCAAGATTTCGGTGCGCCGTTTTATAAACAATTTAATGCTGTGGTTTGTGGTCTGGATTCAGTCACAGCTCGGCGGTGGATTAATTCTATGCTGGTGTGTCATGTATTGTTTTATATTTTTCATTACTAAGCATTTCCAATGGTATTTTCAGGACAAAGGTGTATTTTTCACAGTGAAAATGTTTAGGTATATTTAATGAAACGAGTCTACAAGAATCAGCATATAATAGATTTTGTGTATGTAACATACGAAAAGGACCTTATCATTGTACTGGAATCGCAATAATCTATTATTGGAGATTGGGGAAAACTATGTCAAATGTCACATTGCGGCGTAATTTCTACTTCTGATTTCTTTTGGGCTGTCCGTTCTCCTGTATATTGAAAAACACTTTGCGCTTAACTTTTCATATAAATTTGCTATGTGTTTTATCACTGCTGGATACCTTTACAATTTGTCATTTTTTGCACATTACTTATCCTATACTATTCTGTATTATTTTTTATGGATTATTAAGAAATGATTTTGCTGTGTTGGTTGGATTAGATATTAGCTGGAGTGGGTTAAATCTTTTGGTGTTACTGTAAACATAGTTGTTGATAAATATCTCAAACAGCTGTCAATTGTTATTGTCTGAAACAAACTACGTACTAGGTTCATATCGTCCACCGTGTATATCTTATAACATGACAAGACGCAGGTACATTCAAATTTATGTTCAGTGAAGAAGTTTCGGGGATTCTGTATCCATCACTCATAATGTATGTGGAAAATGTCTTAACGGCTGACCCTAACGAAAATGTTTCCTAGTGGACATACATTCATATTAATCACTGTTCTCAGAAATATCCTTTTATAAAAAAATCAGTTTATTTGCATAATTTTGTACATTTTTTGGTTATGAAGAGCCAAAAAACTTAAGTATTATATGCGAAGAATTCTATGTCGTACTAAACATAACATTAAATAAAGCGATTGTCATTATAAGTGTGTTTTAGTTATTTCATTACAATGGATTTCGTTTAGACAAACCTGACTTTCCATCGGCAAACGAAAACGACTCAGTTTATGATAGCACTCTATGTAATGACAAAAGAGTTGTGTTAGGAATCTGTTTATTCTAAATAGTGTCATAATGGCCAAGTAGAAAGTAATATGAATCGAAGGTGATGGTATGCACTTATATATTTATATTTACCTCCGTTTTACTTCTTTCTGTTGTATCGAAATGTAGTTTGTTAAACAAATACATTAAGACATTATAGCAGTCGGATAAAGTGTAAATTCATGCTCAAGACACTTGCAGATCATTCTTCTTAATGTATGTTGCCATGTTTTAAAGTAAATTCTACTTTAACATTATCATCGATCATCATAATTGCTGACTGACACTTCTTTAACATAATGGCTCTTCGACTTATAACACATGAATTGGTTCATCTTAAAATATTCCAACTATTATTTATGATGTATCGGTATCAAGACTGCATTTTGTTGACAATAAATTGTTCCCATTTGATACTATCAAAAATGGTATTTTTTTATTTAGCGAGCGCACTGTTTCCACATGAGTTGATTTTTAAATATTTTCTAATTGCCCACCGTATGTCGAATGTCTGTAATGTTTTTGTCTTTTTTTTTCGTTTCTGTATTATAGGCAAGTCTGGTTCGTTATAATCCAGATGGTCAACCAGATCCAAACACTGTCATACCACTTGTTGACGGTGGGACAGAGGGATTCAAAGGACATGTCCTTGTTGTTCTGTATGGCCTGACTGGATGCCTAGAATGTACACTTGACCTATACCCACCACCAACCAATTTTCCCTTATGTACTATAGCGCATACTCCTCGTCTTCCAGAACATTGCATAGAATATGTCAGAATACTGTTATGGTCAAAAGACAATCCATTTGGAAGTAAGTTGATGTCCAGTATTTAAGCAAAGATGTTCAACTTTTTATCTAATACACTGCTGAAAACGGTCGGAAGTGTTTAGTCATTGGTCCTAACATTGTCGCTACTAGAAAAGAAAGCACTGATTTTAATACGAGAGGATATTAGTGTGGCTCACCATTTTCAATGAACCTTGTTTTGAGGTACATATATATATATATATAATCATAGAGTAGCTCATTATGTAAGCAATGTAGATAGTCAGACACTACCTTTCATCAATATCTTTGTGATTTCACAAAAAGTGTGTATATCTTTGGTTGCCAATATTGTAGCTGACTGACTGCCAGTATTCTACACACCTTAAAATCAAGTATGATTGACTTCATAAATCTGCCCATTTAGTGTTTGGCGAGTCAGTCTACAGATGGCTGTCCTACCAACTGTGGTGAGTTATATCAAAATATTGCTAAGACATCTAAAACTTGCCACATAAGGACCTTGTCTAACCGGCCTCAAGCAGTTTACTCTTGAGCTCCATAATCACTCCTAAGTCTCTACGACCACTATTAATCCAGTTTATTCTTTGGGTTTCCCAAGAAGAAAAATCCTTCCACAGTACGGGCAACAGAAAAGTGACAGCTAATCTCATATCTCTACCCGGAATTCTATCTTCATCAAATATTCCATCTTCATTATCAACTCTCATCTTCTACTTCTTCAACGTGTGCCATAAAAGCTAACAGTTCGAGATTACAAAATACTGTTTCAGGTCTTTTGAAACTCCGCTTCAAACTACATGTTAGAACTTTTAATGTTTGGATCCCATATCAAGTCGGACAACAGGTATCACTAGCTAAGACCCTAGAATCTTGTGCCGTTAATGTATACTGTGCTTCCAAAGTACAAAAACTACTTTTATAACTTGTGCCTGCTAATTAGAGAACAGGGATTTATCGACCGAACCAATGACGCATAAAATCCGTACGAGCAGTCTAGAGTCTTTATCGGTCTTGCTTCCCGCCTAGCTCTGTCTGTTATATGCAGAACATCAATCTCAGCCTCTGCGATATGAATAATTTATTTCAAACACACTGAGTTTGTATGCCAACCAAACAGACCACATTGTATTATAAAATAAAAAATAACATTTGTAAAAGATATAACCAAAAGTGGCTGTGAGTGTGGGAGACGGTAATTGGGCATAGCTGAAGAATGGTAACTCGTATAATAATAGTTCATAGGTCAAAATAAAGCTTTCAATAAGAGGAACACGAATATAAATAGTTTAGTTATTTAACAATTATACGATAAAAACATATGTATAGTATTAGTCCAGAAATAGATTACAACAGTTACCACTCATTATTCTCATCGGGATATAACACCTCTTTTTTGAAGATCCGGAGTTGATATTCGGACTTTATCCTCCCCTACAAATTAGTGTTGGATCCTCTTGTCCTCAAGTTACAATTAACGTGACTTTATTTGAAACATGTTTACCGTATTGAATAGAGAATCCACTAAAAGTGACTAGATAGTGAGGATAAACGCCACTGGATTTGCGGTCATCAGGGTCTGATTCTTCTGAAACATTTTCATCAAATTTATTGAAAATCTCATTAGTAGATAATGGATCACTAGAATAATCAGCATCCATCAAAATTGCGTTAGGTTCTTGATTATCATCTGATGTATCCGACATATTTTTCTCATTTTTATAAGAAATTTCATCAAGAACATTCGAATCGTTAAGATAACCCATACCTGGTAAAACAACTAGAGAATCCCAATAATTAGATTCATCAGAAACTTTTATCGCAGAATGATTAATTTCATTTGGTGCAACTGCATTCATTATACTGCTCGATTTGTTTTCTTTTTCGTGGGTGGTTACTGCGACAATTTTATAAACACTTGACAGGACATAGCCTTTTTGTGAGCTGGACAAGTCACTGTTTGCACATTCTGTTTCAGGGATAATGGGATTTGAACCCACTACAGGGCATGTCTCTAAAATGGACGTTTCTGGACGACTGGGTGGATCATAAGTAACTGATACTGCTTTGTTTATATTAATGCTTGTCAAGGATTCCCGGAGGCTTTCATCGACACGTTCATACGTTGTGCAGTCATTTTCCAGCTCTGTATGCAATTTGGAAAATAATTCATTAACTTCCGTCACATCTCCAAATCATGGATGATTCAGTAGCCGTGTGTGTAGTTTGTCTATAAATTCCAACGGATTCTTTTTAAAACACTGCTGTTGTCGCTGAAATAGCAGCTGCAATTGATCAGGAAAGCCATTCTCTGTTTCTGTATGAATCAGCACGGTAATAGAAAAGACATTATGACTAATTAACAAACAATTTCGTCCAAGGACATCGACAACAACTCTGTATGGTGATTGTTCGAAATAATTACACTGGTTTTCGTCCAATTACTGGCTAACCTTGGTTCTTTTTCTTCACTCCGTGGCCAACTGTTATAACTTGTCCAACAAGCACTTTCTCCAGTTTTCTTCTGTTCTCTTATTTGCGACTTGGGGGGTTATAGCGTTCGAGTGCTTAAGTCATACGCAGTATATTAAGAATCTTAGCTTCTAGATTTAACAATTGGCGACGGAGTGAAGGAAAAGAACCAAGGTTAGCCAGTAATTGGACGAAAATCAGTAAGACAATATCATGCGGATACTCAAGGTCGAGAAGTCTTTCTTCAGGCAAAAGATCCACACCGCCATTACTTACATCCATCAAAGCTGTTTCCAGAATGTTATCGATGGAAAAGTTAGCAAGGGATGATGAGATTGGGCAACCCTGCCTAACCCCACTGCCTGAGTGGAACAATGGAGAAAGGTCATTGTGTGCCCTCACTCTGTCTGAGGTGTTTGTATATAGGGCCTTTAGGATGTTAATGAAGTTCCCAGGCACACCCCTCTTTAATAGACAATCCCAGAGAACAGTCCTGTCCAACTGTTATAATCTCTTTCTTCTTACGGTTATGACCCAGCTATTCCTATTGTTTAGTATTCTCGGATACCGATTCACTCGACAAGTCCCCAAATCAGAACACGGTTGAACAGGAAAGAGATTATATTCCAAATAGCAAGTCAGAAGCACAATAGGAAAAACGTCAGTATATTTATAGTTTTTACATGAGAAGATTCTAGAGTATTCTCCAACTATCGACTAGTGCTGATTGGACAAGAATTAGCCAATCAGCGTGCACCAAAGCAATCATGCATTGAACATGCTTTAATCTAGTCTATGTCCCGCTAACACCTCCCCTTTGAGCAGATTCGTAGGATCTGGTGCTAGGGTCCAACTGCAACTGAGTGACTGGCTTGTGCTTTCGATTAGTTCATCGTCTAGGCAATAAAGAATTATCACTTTTTATCTTGCACAGAGACTGACATGTCTGTTCCCGGCGTTTTGATTTTTAAAAAAATAAAAGTATGCATAACTTTTAATTCTCCAACATTCTCCTCCTCCGCGAAACAATGTCGGATCCTTATATCTCCAAGTTACAAATAATAGGACTTTATTTAAACGATGTTTCTTGCATTGAATGTCGGATCCACTAGAAATGACTAGATGATAATGAACGACCTTTGATTTGAGGTCAGAGTTTAATTCTTCTGAAGCATTACTTTCAAATCCATTAGAAATTTCGTCAGTGGATAATGGATCATTACGGAAATCAACATCTAACAAAATTAATTTAGACTTTGACCATAATTTGACTCAGCCGACATATCTTCCTCATTTTTATAAGAAATTTCATCAAAATTACATGCATTATTCTGAGAACCCATATCTGATACATTGTCATTAGAAATAGGATAAGCTGATTCAATATAAATTTCTGTCTCACAATGATTTTGAGTAACATTCGGTATATTTGGGTTCATCGTGTCACTGCAGTTATTTTCTGAATACGAGTCCCCATAGATTTTTCGGCTAATATCACGTGGACCATAATTTTGTTCTAGCTGAAATTTATTTTCAGAGCTAGACAGGACCAGTAGTGCTTCACTCAATTCTGGACTCCGGGCTTCATCTACAGGGTCTGGCTCTTGATCATCTCGTATTGCCACAACTTTATGAGCATTCAGCACAGTATTTTCTTGCTGTGAGCCGGACACGTTACAAATATTACGTTCTGATTTAGGTATAAAGGGATTTGAACCCCCCACTAGATATGCTTCTGAAATGTCTGTTACTGCATCATAAACAGATTTCTTATTTTCTGGTCGAGTGAAAAGTGTGCTCAATAGTTGTTGTTGCAAGGCTAACAACTTCTGCTGGTGCTGTAATATTAACCGCAACTGTTCTAAAGAAATCGCCATTTTTCTTTAGTTTTTCCCCGTCGCCACTGTTATAATCTCTTCTTCTTACGGTTATGACCCAGCTATTCCTATTGTTTAGTATTCTCGGACACCGATTCACTCGACAAGTCCCCAAATCAGAACACGGTTGAACAGGAAAGAGATTATATTCCAAATAGCAAGTCAGAAGCACAATAGGAAAAACGTCAGTATATTTATAGTTTTTACATGAGAAGATTCTAGAGTATTCTCCAACTATCGACTAGTGCTGATTGGACAAGAATTAGCCAATCAGCGTGCACCAAAGCAATCATGCATTGAACATGCTTTAATCTAGTCTATGTCCCGCTAACACCAACGAATCGAACGCATCCGTGATGTCAAGAAACACTACGATTGTTGGTCTTTGATAAGTATGACGGTGTTCTAACATTTGGCGGAGGGTGAAGATATGATCAATACATCCTCGACCAGAACGAAACCCAGCCTGCTCTTCGCGAGTCAATCTTTCTCGGGTTTAGAAAAACCTACACAAGTATGACAAGCCAATAGTTTGGACATAATCGGTTAAGTTGACTGATATGTTACCTAAAGTCTCGGAAATAGGTACAATCCCATCTGATTGGTATTGATCACTTATTGCTCCAGTTCATAAGAAAAGAAAACATTCACTTACAATAACCACAAAGGAATCAGTCTGGCTAATGTAGCGTCTAAACTATTAGCCTGAATAATATGTATATATATAATATATACTAAAACCGTTATCTTTTGTTCTTTTCGTCTTTTCGTGCCAATCTGGTGTGTTAACTTGTGTCAACAAACAGCTGTGCCAGGTTCTATGTTGATGACGTCTGTCTGACTCTTAACAAGTAAGAGATTATATTCCAAATAACAAGGTTAGATGGAAGTAAAAAGCAATTCAGTAGTGCAATAGGGGAAAGGATTAGTATATTCATAGTTTGTACATGAGAAGATTCTGGCGTAGTCCCCAAGTGTCGGCTAGTGCTGATGGGATAAGAATTAGCCAACCAGCGTGCACCAAAGCAATCGTGCATTGAGCATGCTTTAATCCAGTCTATGTCCCGCTAACAGTAGGAATTCCCTGTCGGTGGCCATACACCCATAACCATGTGGGAGGATTTCTAGAGGGAAAGCAGACTTTCGCCATCTTTAGCCGTACCAGGGCATTTATAATATTGAATAAAGCTAATATTATTACTATTACTCATAATTTTTCTTACTGTTTATCATATTTTGTTTTCACAGATAATGTTGCAATCGACGGCGATTCACCTGAACACATACAATGGATATATGAAAAGTCATGTGAAAGGGCTAAACAATTCGGAATTTCAGGTGTTACACTACGTCTTGTACAAGGTGTCGTAAAGCGAATAATCCCTGCTGTTGCTTCTACAAATGCTGTTATCGCAGCTGCATGTGCAACTGAGGTTGGTCTTCTAAATAAGTCGACTTTACTTCTTTCTATGTTGTTGGTATTCAATAAAATGCAACCCACTGTAAATAGTTAATATTCGCGTGCGAGACCAAACGTTTTGGGTTCGGTTCCCGCATGCGAAGTTGGGGTTACGCACTTCTAAGGAGTTTCATACTGCGAAGAAACGGTATCCCAGTGCCTTGAGGTTTTCAGTGGTGATCTAGCTTAGATCGGTTCATAATTTTAATAAACTTCAATCTTCACAACCCCATACTGCCGATTCATTTTGAATTTGTAGATTGTGTTACCTCATAATTTCACTTCTTCATAAATTCTTTTTCCTAATTTAGAATTAGTGGGGGTGTATTGCATTCTGATTAAAGACGTATACGAAGACTGGAGGTCATGACAAATCTTGTGACGATCCTGGTTTTGTCTTTTACATTATTCTTAAAATTGAGGGGAGCTTCCTAAATTAAAGAGAATCTTTTTTGGCTGTTTTTAAAAAGGATTTTTAGGAAATTACTGTTCTTGTTTAACAATTTATAGCTTTTGCAGCCATTCCCTTTCATAAGCAAAGGTGAATGGTGGATAGCAGTGGAATCCAGGACACGCGTTTCGTCCTATTCGGGACTCGTCAGCTGGATGTACCTGCATTCCAGAGTTGATGTTCACTCTTTTATCTTCACTTAGCTATCACTTCATTTATGTGTTGAGTTTTATTTCAATACTGCACTAGGATTTATGTACTTAAATAAGTAGATAAACTGTTCTCCTAAAGCACTTCAGTTAACTGTATGGCGTGTTATGTATCTATACACGTCGTTGTGGTCGGCGTCAAAAACTAATTCAGATCAATCCTCTTTACAGAAAAAAAACGACATAGCTTTACGTAATCAGTCATCAGAGTATGGAATTACAGTGACTAATTTATATGATGCCATTTCAGTCCTCTAAATACATTGATTTTTTATTTCTTCGCCGGTTCTCTTTCACAGGTCTTCAAACTAATCACATTCTGTTACAATTATTTAGATAATTACATGAATTTCAGTGATATTGATGGAGTTTATACCTATGGTTTTTCTGTTGAACGCAAAGTAAGTGATTCTAATTGCTTTTCTTTGATGTCTTTAATAGATAGAAAACAATTCATCCTTATGGTTTCTCTTCGGATTTGAAATCGCAAATTAAATGCTTTTTATGCGTTTATATTTGTTTGTTCAGTCAAATTACTTTTTTTGTATGACCATGTTCCATGCATTCAGGCAACCAGAAATGAACCTGATCAAATTCCTTTTAAACCCATGATCCTAAGGTTCCAGATCGAGTATCTAAACTACAAAGCCTTTACACCGACGACATAAGGAAAAGTTGATACACAATCTATCTTATAAATATCATAAAGATGTTTTTAAGATTGACTGTAATCTGTTTCATAGTTTTTTTCGTTAACTACTACTTCTAAATGATATAAGGTGAAGTATTTTTCACATAGTTTCACGTTCAATTGTAAGCCTTAAATTATTAATCTTTTGACTTTCTTTTTAGACCTTTTTTTCCACTTGTCTCATTCATTTCTTCTACGCTTTGACTTATGATGTATTATAGGTTACTAAAATCTTGTTATGTATTTTCGAGTTATGTAGAGATTGTGTCTTAGATGGTGGTTGGAGGTAGTCAACGGGAAACCCTGGACCCGGGTTTCGTGCTATTTGGCACTCGTCAGCAAGGTGTACCTGTAATGTCGAGGGAACTGGTGCTCCCTGACGGATTCGATCCCGTGTCACCCAGCTTCACAGTCAGAGACGTTACCACTGAGCTATCTGGGCCGCGACTGACCTCCTGTAGGACTGAGATGTAGTCACAAGAGATTGTGTCTGTTCTTCCAAAAAGCGTTTCATAGAAGTTAATATAATTGGGTTGAATAAGTTTCTATTAAGTGGGATTCAGAAAAATCATGGCATTGTGTTACGAGATCAAATCAATCGATTTGTTTAAGTTCTCTGCAATAAATTTTAATATACTAAGAAATACTGTGGAAAATAAAACTGTTAATCATTGACATTGTTAGTATATATATGTATATCTTTGTTTTTGCTCGCTTTGAGATAATAAAGGGAACTGTGTGTAGCTAATTTATTTACATGATTCCAGTTTTATTCAAGTAATGTTTATTGACTATGACAATACGATCCTTTGATATTTTCTTATAATTTTCAACGAACAGTTATCATATTTTCAGAACGCTTAACTCCTAGATCACTGATCTGGCATCCAACGGTGTTAATGTCTAACTTCAATCGATCTATGGTCTTGCATATCCTTTCATCTGTTGTCTGAGGTGGATAACTGTCTTAGTGAGAAGCCGTGACCAGTAGAGTCCAATCTGTGTCGGTGGAGACAGTTATTCACTTCAAACAACGGCTGAAGGGTTGTGCTAAATCACGGATCGATTGAACTTATTATATTTATTTATTTCGATTATTTATGGTCAGCATTTATTGTTAATGTCCTAATTGAATTGTTGAAAATTTTCTATTTTGAAAACTTACTATAGGCTGATTGTCTTGCCTGTAACAATGTGCCACGAACTCTTCGATTGCAGACTACTTGTACATTAAGAGATGTTATAAATGTTTTGAAGACAGATCCTGAGTTGTGAGTATTGTACTATTATTATAAAATGTTTTGTAAACTAAACGACAATAGAGAAACCTATATTATTATATTATGGAAGTTTCATGTTTTTTATTATTGCACCTTCACAATATCTCTACGTGTTATTGTGGAGTTTTTCATCGATGTACTAATAAGTGTATTCCCATTTAAAATAATCTTATTTTCTCCAGTTCCCATTAGAATTTTACGTATATCGTCTTGTATTGTAAGTGATTATATCGTCATCATTCAGTCTACTAATATAATACAGATATTTAAACATATGTGAGTGTTATTTTACTTTAAGAGAGCACTAGTCAATGTAGTTCATTAGATATATTGATAAGTGATTATACCTTACAATACAATCTCAGATTTACATGAACTAAATTACGTTGTTTTTTCTGGTTACATCGGTTGTGATTTTTGGGTGAGAATGATAATGATTCGTTGTTTGCTTAGTCAGACTTGTAGATAGTCTGACAGGTGTTTGATGAGTTATATATTCTCCTATCCTTATTATTATTATTACTGGATTGTGTCGGCTTGTTGTCGGTTTTGATGTGGAAATACATTTACATTGTAGTCAGGCTAATCATGTGTTTTTGATCTGTAGAGTAGACACTGGGAGGGAATCTGGTGTAGATATTCGTCTAAAGCAAATTGACTTCCCATTCGTGTAGACAAGGAAAATCCGATCGTTATAACATGTTGTAAACATGATGCAATTGGAACACTAACTACTTAATACCTCTTTTCCATAACTACATATCACAGTTCTATAACAGAATAAAACATATTGTTACTTTATAGTGGTTGTTTTTAGTCAAACCTTTCACGTACATACTTTATTATTATCGGTAAACAGTCCAATGAATCTGTTGTAACTGCAAACATGTCTAAAGCGATTAGCGCCTTTGACTAATTTATTTTTTATACGTAAAGCATGTTTAACGGTGGATAAGTCCTTGAATATTTCTAACATGAAAAGTGATAAATAATGGCTTCATCAGTATTATATATATATATATATATATATATATATATATATATATATATATATATATCACTTCATATTTTGTCCTATTTTCTAGTCAAATGCAGTCACCCAGTATAACAACAATTATTGAAGATCAACATCGTTCATTGTATATCAATCTTCCAGAACTGGTTGATACACTTAAACCGAATTTGTCTAAAACTCTTCAAGGTAGGCATATTAACTATTCAAGTTTTCTTACTTCAGTATTATTCAACCTATTTAAATGAAGTGAATTCATATTTTAAATATTTTTTCTAGTTGTAACGTTTATTTTAAATCTTAATAATTCAATTCCTGTTTTCGAAGATTGAATATATTTGAAGATAATTCGTGGTATGAAATGACATCAGTCGAAGAAGTGCTAGAAGTAATCTTTTTGATCACTAACTTCAATTCTTTCCATATTTGAATCTAGAATCTATAGTTACGAAGCAAAACACAATGACTTTTCAATACTTTCCATTAGTTTTACTTTAATTCCACTTTCGAAAGTGAATTCGAGCCATTTTACAAGTTGATTTTTATAAATAATATCTGATAATCTTGTCTCGGTATGTGTTCTATTGCCAGTTCATTGAAATTTTTTTCGTCTAACCGACTTTATAGCTGTTTAAAGTTGAAAATATTAACAGTATCTGTCTGATAGACTGATAGATAATTATGATCAATTAATCTATAAATCTTCTGAATACTGACGAATCGATGTTTAGTTTCATTTAAGTAATTTATCAATCTGATTAACTGTTATTACTTATTTAGATAAATTTGCTATTGGCACATAGTTGCAGCAAATCTGTAAGTATTAATATGGTGTATGCTGAGATGGTGGAGATTTGTAGCTCAGGTGGATGATGTTAATGTAGTTTGGTTCTATGCGCTGGATTTTTTTAGCCGTGGAGCTTTCTTTGTTCTTTTGAACGACGTTGTCAGCAGAAACTTCAGGTAGAAGTCAAGTATTCGGATTTCTCCACATGTGGTTCACAGCTTGTCCTGTACACTCCGACACATCAGCACATCGACATCGAGGTGTTGATCATCATCAATGTAGAGCTTGGCGCAGATGTCCTTTAGGCCTAATTCCCATACCTTATTATGACAACAATGTGAAGTTATCAGTATAGGGTTGAGGAGATTGTTAGGTTTTTATGGAGATCATGAACCGGTCAATGTTAGACCACCATTGAAAACCTGGAAGCGCTAGACGGCCCTTTCGTCCAACTACGGAACTCCTCAGCAGTGCAATATCGTGGATTGTTGAAGATGGCGGTCTCATATCGATCGGTTCATGATTTCAATAAAAACCGAATAATCTCCACAACCTTATACTAGTAAGTATCATATGCTCATTAATGAATAGTTTAAAAAGGTAATTGTCGGAGTTCTAGTAAAAAGCCATGACCAGTGAAATTGAGCCATGTCGGGTGTGAGGCAGTTACCCATTGCAGACGATGGAAGATGGTCGCACAACATCGTGGATTAGTTGAAGCAAGATACTAACACTTTTCGACCTCGGCTCAGTGGTCTAGGGGTTAAGCGTTTGCGTGCAAGGTCGAGGGTGCCAGATTCCAATCTCACATGCATGATCGCGGATACGTACTGCTGATGAGCCCCACATTAGGACGAAAGACTTTCCAATGCTTCCAGGTTTTTAATGGTGGTCTAACATTGATATGTTCATAATTTCAATAAAAAAGTATGAAGTTAACGGTCTAAATGACAAAAAATATCGAAATATAGTATTAATGACAGTGAAAAGGAATAAGCATAAAGAATATAGTCCGAAAAACATAGTCGAAAGTTATACACTAAGAATTGTTGAAACTCAAATATCAAACAGAAGATAAAAAATATGTGGATTTTTAACTAGTGATACATAAATGTAATGAATATCAGCTTGTATATATCGTTATATAGCCTATATTTAAAGTTTCAAACTTTTTATTATGAAGATTTAGTACGAAGCTCTTGACGAATGCATTAAATCAACTGATATCCTTTTTTTGTTTACAATGTTCAGACTATGTTTTACTTAATACGAATTCTATTTCCAAGTTCAGTTTATTTATTTATTTGAACACACCAAATACATATACGCCACACAAATCTCATTTGATTTGTGTGAGGGCAGTGATACTCTCCGGGTACCCAAACCGAAGCAGGAGGTTTTCTTAGGAGGCCACACCGGAGCCTTTGATCTTAAGGTCTGATCCACGAGGCAGTGGAGCATCGTAAGGAGGTGCAGTTTCATGGTAGCCAGTGGCCTACGATTGGTTCATATACCATTTGATCTCTCAGAATCCTGGAGCCCATGTTCACCATTAGTTTGTAATCACGGTTTTTCAACTCCCCAAAGTGGACCCTACATGTCCACCAACCCTGTTAGAGCGCTGGACATTCACTTTATAAAATCTGTTAATTTTTTCAGATCTATTTATTATAATTCTAAAGTTTAGTTGTAGAAGACATTAACACTGTTGGATACCAACTCAGTGGTATAGTGGATAAGCACTCATATGCAAGACTGATAGACTCTGGGTTCGAATCTCGCGAGACGAGATCGTGGATGCACACTTCTGAGGAGTTCTATACTAGGACGAAGAAACCGTCCAGTGCTTCCAAATTTTCTATGGTGATCTAGCTTCAATTGACTGATGAATTCAACTATTAAATTCCAAAGTTAACAACACATCTAAATGATTGGACTATAATATTAAATTAGTTATTTATTTTAGTGTTTTAATAACATTTAGAATAAATTCAATAACTTTTTTGTGTCTAAACATCATTCTATTGTATTTAAGTATGCTTATCATTGATTGTTTATATTTATTTATTAATTTATTAATAGAACTTGGTCTTATTAATGGTCAAATAATTCATGTTAGTGATATTACAACACCTAGAACATTATCTATAAAGCTTCATTTGGATGATAATTATAATGCAAATCATTTGATCGCTATCAATTAACTTCATTAAAATAAATTGTTTATTAATGATGATAACATGATTATTATGTTTATTATGTCTTATGTCTTTGTATATGATTATTTTAGTTGTCATAATAAATATAACATTATTTGTTGTTTTATTTTCTCTTTTTAAATGATACTACTTTATGGTGATTTTTCTTTTTCTTTTGTTTTTCTATTCATGAGAATGTTTATATTAGATATTTGAAAGTCATTTTCAGCATAGCTGTTGTTTGTTTGTCAAGAGTAGCATTTAGTGTATGTTTGTACTTATCAAGTTCAAAGTGTATCTGTATCGGTTTGATTTATTTATTTATATTTATTTTAGCACACAGATATTGGTACAAGGAAGCACCAAAAACGTATGCGCCACACAGATCTCATTTGATATGTGTGAGGGCTATGATACTGCTCGGGTGCTCAAACCGAAGCAGGTGGTTATCTTAGGGGGCCACACCGGAGCCTTCGACCTGAAGGTCTGATCCATAAGGCAGTGGAGCAACGTAAGGAGTTGCAGTTCCATGGTAGCCGATGACCAACGATTGGTTCATATGCCATTTGTTCCTTCAGGATACTGGAGCCCATGTGTACCATTGCTTTGGAATCAGGGTTTTCCAACTCTCCTAGGTGGACTGTCCATGTCCACCAACCCGGTTAAAGCGCCGAACGTTTGCCTTTCGTCCTCTGAATTTCGTAAACAACAGCGATGCCACGAAAAGGCAGTGAGTAGAACTTCCCTGGCAGAGGCTATATATGCGTGGCTATGTTTGTTCACGAAAGATAATGCATGGATCATTCAATATTACAGTATTGAATGTAGTTATACCGCTTTGCATTATGAATAACTAACCTTTTTTTCATAAATTAATGTAGTTAAGAAATGTATTTTATTATATTTACATGAAGATTTCTATCCTTTATGTATTTTGAGTGTAGAACATTTAAAGTTTCAGTGTTAAGAGTTTCTTGAATTTGTATGTATTCAAGTCAGTACTCGATGTAATGATTTCTAGTACATACGATTTGTTGATGCTCATTATTATTGAGCTTAAAGTTAGTTTTGGATACTTTCATTATTGTTTCATTCTATACGATGTCATTTATAATTAGGCCAAGATTACATCGACAATGAATCATCATCTAACAACTGTTTTAATTTCCTTTGGTTTTTACATTGAATATAACATTAATTTTGATCGGTTAACTTTCTAGGATTGAAATTATTGACACATATATTTAACGGGTGAAATTATTTAATATAAAACTTAAAAATTAGTTTCATCTGATGGCTAATGTTGATAGAAATCACACCTTAAATTCTTGTCAAAATATTTTAATATACTTCTGAGATGAATATTCTCATCTGATCCCTTAGTGTTCCTAAGTGTTGTTAGAGGTATGAGGGCGGCGGTTATCAATTCCCGGTCGCCCACACCGTGGAAGGGTTCTTCTGGAGGTGCCTGAAAAGAAAATTGGATTAGAGGTGGTCTTATTGACCTAAGAGCGCGACCGCAGTGCCTAGGGAAAACTGCTTGAGGTCGGTCACACACGACCTTTTTATGAGTAATTTCCGTGTCAGCTCCGTACTTGTTGAAACCTTCCCGCCAGAAACGGATATTCATGGGATAAGGCGAGGTGTGCATTTTTAGGGTCGACCTTTTCTAACCCCACCCCCCTGCCCGCAAATGCCCTGGTATGGCCGAGAGCGGGGTGGGTTCGCCCTCCCTCTCGAAATACTTTCACACGGCCACGGGTATACAGCCTCTGCCAGGGGAGTCCTACTCACTGCCTTCTCGTGGCGGGGTCGTTGTTTACGAAATTGCGAGGACGAAAAGCGAATGTCCGACGCTTTAACCGGATTCCAAATCAATGTTGCACATGGGCTCCAGTATCCTGTGGAACAAATGGCGTATGAACCAATTGTTTGTCACCGGCAACCATGGGACTGCATCTCCTTACGATGCTCCACTGCCTTGTGGGTCAGACCTTCAGGTCGAAGGCTCGGGGAGTGGCCCCCTAAGATAACCACCTGCTTCGGTTTGCTCACCCAGGCAGTATCGCAGCCCACACACAATTAATTAACTGAACTGTCTATGATCATGGAAACTTATTCTCTTGCTTCGACGAACATTCAAATGATTCAATCATTATTATTATTATTATTATTATTATTATTATTATTATTATTATTATTATTATTTACTACGTCATTATTCACACTCTCTTTATACTTATTTTTTCGACTTATACATCAGCTCGTCTATAGTGGAAATTCGACTGTATCTAAACGTTCTCGAGTCACTGTCCAGTTGAAAATTGTATGTTACCACCGAATACAAGGACTGAAGCAGTTTTTCTGAAACCACGTGCACCATTCAAACTGGCTGCCTTCAATGTTCGCACACTTATGCAGGTTGGACAACAGATAGGGCTGGCTATGTCTTTGGAAAGTCTTCATATCGATGTCTGCTGTCTATCCGAGACCCGTATCCAAGACTCTGGTGAAGTACTACAAATTCGCTCTACATCTGTCACTTCAAAAAGCTTGTTTTACGTGCGCTTATCCGGGGACCCTGTGGCATCTTCGTCTGGTCTCGCTGGCTTTGGTGTCGCACTAAGCGCTAGAGCTGAGGCAGCACTAGTCGATTGGATCCCCATTAACAGTCGGTTATGTGCTGTTAGATTGGAAAGTTCCATCAAAGTGAGAAGAAATCGGCTTGAGAAACGATGTCGTTTCGTCATCTCCGCCTATGTCCCGACAGATTGCAGCCCGGATGCAATCAAGGATGAGTTTTACCACCAGTTATCTGTTCTTCTCCAGAAAGTGCGTTCGACAGATATTGTAGTACTAGCCGGAGACTTGAATGCTCAGGTCGGGCATCTAGGCACATAAGAGAGTCGTTTAGGTGGCCGATGGGGACTTGTTAGACGCAGGTCAGATAACGGGGACCGTCTACTGCAACTGTGCACAGACCACAACCTGTTTCTGGCTAGCACTAACTTTCGGCACAGTCATCGCGGATGTGCCACCTGGCGTCCTCCCTCTGCATCTCAATCCTGGACTCAGATTGATCACATCGCGATCAGCTACCGCTGGTGTGACGAAATCTCAGCACGGATACAGAAGGCTCGACTAACTTTTGCCAACTTGCGTCATTTATGGCGTAGGCGAGATATCCGTCTATCAATCAAAGGACGTGTTTACTGCGCAGCAGTTCGTTCCGTCCTACTTTATGGCAGTGAAACATGGCCGGTAAGAGTAGAGGATATTCGTAGGTTACTAGTATTCGATCATAGGTGTCTTCGAAACATTGCTCGTATATCATGGGACCATCGAGTAAGTAACACAGTTGTTAGGAAACGGGTACTAGATAAGGATGGCAAATCAATTGATGAAGTAGTGAAACTTCATCAGTTGAGATGGCTGGGACACGTGTTACGTATGCCCAACGACCGACTGCCTCGATGTGCGATGTTCAGTGGTATAGGAGTAGGTTGGAAGAAAGCTAGAGGCGGCCAGACCAAAATATGGCACAAGTCCATGAAGTCACTGACAAGTGGACTGAGTCATGTTGGTAGGTGTAGACTACCTGGTTGGGGACCACGAGATGATAGCAACCGATGGTTAGAGACCCTGAATGACATGGCTCAAAATCGTTTGCAATGGCGCAGGTGCATCCACTCTCTGTTTTCTCCCAAATTCTAATCTTCTGAATTCTTCATGTCCCTTTTTTCCTCTTTCCAAATTTATTTCACTGTATTATACTCTTTAAATAACATCTCCAAACCCTAATCTTCCCGATTACTGCTTATACTCTTGCTACCTCTACCACTACGGGATTTGAATCGACCACTGCATCTCTGTGCTAATGTGGTGTGGCAACTCGAACTGATGTACGTACGTACGAAGTTCTACGTTGTTACTGACTGACTGACCGCTGGCGTGGTTGTGTACAAGACTGCCGCTCCTTTTGGAGTACCTATCTGGACTCTGACCATGCCTTGGTCTGCGCCAATCTTACCTTACTTTTCAGTGGACAACGAAGTGACCGCCACCAACGGATTGATGTTAGCAAGCTGGTTGCAACTTCTGTTGCAAGTAAGTATCGAACCGAGCTAGCCTCTAGGCTAGCTACCACTCCACCGAAAAGTATAGATGAGCATTGGTTGCAATTGCATGACGCCATGAAAATGGCGGGAACAGTCAGTTGTGGGTTTGCGAAACGTCCCGCTTTTAAGCACTGGGTTTCTTCTGGTTCCTTACAACTCATTGAAGCCCGTCGGTCTACTCCGGGTGACCGTGAGTTTGACCATAAACGAAGGATGTTACGTAAGGAAATTGGGCAAAGCTTGCGTAAGGACCGAGAAGCCTGGTGGTCGGAGCGTGCTAATGAGCTGGAAGCAGCAGCTGCATCTGGTAACTACCGGAAGCTCTTCCAACTCATCCGAGCCACTGGCAGCAAGAAGTCTGGTGTGAGTGAAACAATCTGCGAGGATGATGGGATGCCAATCACTAACATCCATCGACGTCTTGGACGATGGGCAGAATTTTTCGAAGGGCAGTTCAACTGGCCTGCTGCTCCGGCAACATCGGTCAGACTGTCCTGCCCTCCATGGCCGGTGACGACTGATCCACCAAATGAGGAGGAAGTCCGCAAGGAACTCCAACTCTTGAAGCGTTACAAATCACCTGGCCCAGATGACTTACCTCCGGCTCTTTTTAAAGATGGTGGTGACTTTTTGACTAAGGAATTGACGACGTTGTTTACAAAGGTTTGGGAACTAGAGAGTGTACCAACGTCATGGAATGAGTCGATAGTTGTCCCTATCTTTAAAAAGGGTTCACGTCGTTCCTGTAACAACTATCGGGGGATAAGTCTACTTCCGATTGCGTCCAAGCTATTGGCTTCCGTCATTCTTCGTAGGTTGTTCAAAACCCGAGAAAGATTGACTCGCGAGGAGCAGGCTGGGTTTCGTTCTGGTCGAGGATGTATTGATCATATCTTCACCCTCCGCCAAATGTTAGAACACCGCCATACTTTTCAAAGGCCAACAATCGTAGTGTTTCTTGACATCAGGGCTGCCTTCGATTCGTTGGACAGGACTGTTCTCTGGGATTGTCTATTGAAGAAGGGTGTGCCTGAGAAGTTTATTAACATCCTAAAAGCCCTATATAAAAACACCTCAGGCAGAGTGAGGGCATACAACCACCTCTCTCCATTGTTCCATTCGAGCAGTGGGGTTAGGCAGGGTTGCCCAATCTCACCATTCCTCTTCAACTTTGCCATCGATGACATTCTGGAAACAGCTCTGATGAATGTAAGTAATGGTGGTGTGGATCTGTTGCCTGGAGAAAGACTTCTCGACCTTGAGTATGCGGACGATATTGTCTTACTGTGCGATAATGCCCAAGGCATGCAATCCGCACTTAATCAGTTGGCAATCAGTGTCCGTAGGTATGGTATGTGCTTTGCACCTTCGAAGTGCAAAGTACTTCTACAAGACTGGCAGGATTCTAATCCTGTACTCACCCTGGATGGTGAGCAGATAGACGTAGTCGAGAAGTTCGTGTATCTGGGTAGCTGCATAAGTGCTGGTGGGGGTGTGAGTGATGAGATCAATGCACGTATAGTGAAAGCCAGAGCGGCTTATGCCAATCTGGGCCACCTTTGGCGCCTTCGTGATGTTAGTCTGGCTGTAAAAGGTCGGATCTACAACGCGTCGGTGAGAGCAGTTTTGCTCTATGCTTGTGAAACCTGGCCTCTCCGAGTTGAGGACGTTAGACGACTCTCTGTGTTCGATCATCGCTGTCTCCGAAGGATTGCTGACATCCAATGGCAACACCATGTCAGTAATGCAGAGGTTCGGCATCGCGTGTTCGGGCACAGAGATGATAATGCAATCGATGTCACCATCTTGAAACACCGACTTCGGTGGCTTGGACATGTTCTACGAATGTCGTCCCAGAGAATTCCACGTCGTGCATTATTTGCCGACTCTGGGACTGGTTGGAAAAAGCGGAGAGGTGGTCAGTGCATGACATGGTGTCGTGGTGTGAAAGAAAGCTGCAAAGGACTGGCTTCTGTTGGTCCTTCACGACTCCCTGGTTGGGGTCTGAGAGATGGTGCTACACAGTGGCTAGAGACGTTATCAGATATGGCTCAGAATAGAAGCCAGTGGCGATCCTGCTGTAACCTTCTTTTACTTTCTTCATAAAGCGTGGTTGTATCTTCCTGAACTGAAAGATTTCTTCTGATTGTACCCTTCTGTTCCCCTACTATTGCTATTATTATTACTACACTACCTTACACCAATCTCTTCGTTATTGTTTTTTTATAGTTATAATTATTACTTCTATTTTACGTTCCTCACTTTTTTTTCTTAGATTCTGATTGTTTTGTGTGGCGCATATATATTCGGCGCACTCCTGTACCAATATATATGTGTTCAAATAAATAAATAAATAACCCCACCCCTCCTTGTGTGAATGCAGCATCGCTGTTATGCTGGCTGTCTGAAGGAAACATCTTACTGCTGTCACATTTCTGTACAGTCAGCAGTACGACTTCGCCTTCGGACCTTGGGTTTGCTGCTTTATTCTTAACGCTCTTCAACCGACCTGTCTGACATGGTAGGACCTTGAGGAACGATAGTTGCAGCCAGTATAGCTCGATTGGTTAATTGCGATAGGCAAGCCCGACCACCACGTCAAGGTAGCATTAACGGTCGGGTAATCTGATCCCACATCCGAATAATTTAAATGGCGTGCTTCCGACTATTTCCTGTCATGAACATATAGCTGCTGATGTTTCTTTCTAATGAAATAAATATTTAACGTAAGAGTTTCCGTTATTCTATAACATTAGTTGAAAATCATGGATGAAATAATTCATATAGCTTACTTTGTTAATTAGTTGTGAAAATACTTTTATTCATGGATTGATTTCTACTAGGGAGAGCTGTTTCTTCTGTTATCGAGAGTTCTCGATAACGGGCATTCATAGCCTCACCTAGAATCGACTTTAAATGCTTTAAGTTCGCCTTACTATTATTTAAGGTACTGTATTAGAATCCATTGATTCACCATTCCAACTTCAACCAATAAAGCGACGATAATCGAATCCCATTATGTTGGTTTCATCACTGAATATGGTGAAACCGTAGTAGCAAAAACCTCACTAGAATTCTGGGATTTGATCTCATGTATGTTTACGATTATTGTTTAGGTGTTTATGTCAATTAGTTCAATTCTATATAGTCTCTTTGAATAAGTGTTAGAACATGTAACTACACGTTTTCCTATCGTTCCTAAGTTGGTAGGGGATTTAGGGAGACACATTCGCCCTCATCATTCTTGTCTAATTTTGGAATTGAGATGGCTTCAAAAACGTATGCGTTGACGCTGCAACCTTCAATCTTTAATTCGTTGTATTCTCTCTTGAGGTACAGTTTCCGCGAATTACATATTACCAGTTGATTGGTGTTTGTAGTTGTGATTTAAGCTTTCCAAATTCGGAGTTTTAAATGATTTTAAAATAAACTTGTTTTAACATCACACTCCTATTTTGGGACATTTGCAATTCGAGCCAAATGTAGAATAATGTACTGCGAAAGTTATTTTGGCTGTAATAGCTTTACTGTATGATGCTTCAGTGTGTATAGTTCTGCCATACTTGTTTCACTTAACTTCATCTTAAAGATGATTAATTATTACTGCCCCCATAACTTCATTCTAAGTCGGTCCTGTCCGTATGTGAACATAACTGAAATTGTTATTTGTTCAGTGTAGTTATTTTGAAAACTCTTCTGTGGCTTTTATTCCTGAGGCATCCTCATGTTTTCTACAGTATGTACTGTTTGTAAGAAACTGAAAGAATTACTACGTACCAATCCTTAGTCTCATTGTCTTACCGTTTGTTAGCTCTAATATTGTAACTCATTCACTAAATACTGGTTTATTTACCGAACATCGAACACCATGGTTCCTTTACTGATAGTCATCTACTAATCTGTAAAGATTATTAGTTATCTGTTGCAGAAGATTAAGAATCCGTTCATAATTACTGATATACCTAGATATAATTAGAGAAATTGATTTATAGTTAGAACGCTTAGTAAACGATTGTCTAGCTTGGAGTTACATTAAACGAACAGCGGTTAGATTTTTTGCGTTTGACGTTCCAGTAATTTGTATGCATTAGGCTATAACTCACATTTTTATTTGGAATAGATACATCACTTCAATCGTTCATCTTGGTGTTCCCACCTATGTTTATTTTATGGTAATCGAATTTCCTTACCTATAACCAATCAACAACCACAATCCTTTTTAAGTTCATATGTTGCTAGCAAACCAAGGAAATCTTTCAAGTTGGTGACCTTGATTTCTGAACCATATGCTTCACATGACGCTTGGCATCCAACTATACCCCCTCCACCTGAATCAGGTCCTGCAGGTTGTTGCACATGGTCAAGTGTATTTTCCGATTCTATTTCAAAACCAATCATTATTGATGTACGAAGTCCTGATGAATTTAATGAAGATCACATTCACGGAGCAATAAATCTTCCTGTTTTAAATAATGAAGAAAGAGCAATCGTTGGCCGTTTATACAATCAAGGTAAGCTGCTACGTTAATTATTTGTATGGAAAACTCAACATTTAAGTTAACTCTCCTGAATTCTTTATATAAGAACTTTGGTGTTTGATTATATTTCCTTGAAAAAACTTGGACCAGCTTGCCAAGCGGAACGTTGGATTTATTACTTCAAAGTCGTTCGCTGTGATCTCACAAATACATTCTCCTTCTTGATGTCTCCTGAATTCTTGGTTCAGATTACTTCATTTCTTGAAATTTGGACAACTCACTGGTAACAATAGTTTCCAAATTATGGCTAAAAATAATGTATATAAATCTTTTCCACAGTTACCACGTTGTATTGTAGTGAACGGGAACACAGGCAGTGACAACCTAAATGTATTTCAATACAACATAACAGAATATCTTGGTAAAATCTGAGAACCATACGGTAAATTATTCATTTGTAAAATGTTAATTAATTGTCTAAGACTTGACTGTTCCTTCGTTTCCACATCAATCACTTTCTGTTCTCATTCTCTTTTCTTCGGTCTTCTTAACCATCTGCCTCCAGGCATCTTACTTTCGATAGATGAGACAAACTAATAATCTAAATTTACTGTCTGTTTAGAGAATAATTATCAGTATAGGGTTGTGGAGATTATTGTGTTTAGAATGATATCCTGAATGGATCAATGTTAGTCCACCATCGAAAACTTGGGAGCACTGGACGGCCGTTTTTTCTTCCTAGTATGGGACTCCTCAGCAATGCGCGTTCATGATCCTGCACATGAGAATCTTACCCCGGACCCTCGTCTCTCACGCGAACACTTAACCTCTAGACCACTAAGCCGGCATCCAACGGTAGAGAATAGTTTTAACTTAAAGTTGATAATTATCATAGAAGATTTCTCGTCAAAATTAGCGCTTGTTTTTTATAATGTAGTTCGATCCCCTATTAAAGTTTCTTGTATTTATTATCTTTAGAGTGAATATTCTTATTCGGCTATAAAAAAACGTTTGCCATTCTGCTAATAATTTTTTATCATTCTCATTATATTATGAAAAACAAAGAGAATTTCAGCAAAATAATCTGTTTGCAATAAATTCGCCGGTCTATGGCGATATTATAATTTATGGACGAACCATTCAGATTTAAGATAACAGGTCTTGGATATTGGCGCGAAATTCATTCACCCATTTGGTTAAATACCATTTTGGCATTATAGTTGATGTCAGTTCGTGATGAAAACGCTTAATTTAATTCCTAACCCTAATGTACAACTGTAAATTCTTATTGTAATTCCTCACACTAATTTATAACTCTCATTTACCGCTATTAAGTAGGTGAACACTCTAAGGTCATTTTAGCGTTGTTCATAGGTTGTCCATAAGTTATAGTCTCACTGTTGTTTTTTTTCTTCAATGGTTTTACGCATGTAACGTTTATTAGTGAATCGACATGAATGTTGATTATCATTATCATGCGAAATGTGATTTATATATGTATACCCAAAATCCAATGTTCAATATTGAAACTTTCATTGCTAAATTAACTATTGCAGACAATATTAAGCCATTGAAGTATATATTTTTGTTTAAACTGGTTAATTACTGGTAAGTACATTAATTATTCGTTTTGTAAATGTTTACAATCACTTATTTAAGATCAAGGTGTTTCCACAAGTAGCTTTTTCTGATAAACATTGGGTGTTAAATGATACTTGTAAGGCATGAAGCAATGTATTGTAGATGTCACGAGTAAATGGACGTGTGGAGGTCAATATATATGTACGCCGTTATAAGCTAATTTCATTAGTTCAATTGTTTGACACTTTAATACAATCCCAATGATTCGAACACTAGTTGTTCTCATAGATTTCATTACCGATTGATCTTAGTCACACAACTATAACTCCAAGTTATGGACCAATGGACAGCTGTTTTTGTCCTCAATTATGTGCGTTCACAACTTCTGTCCTTAGATGCTTGATCTCCAGACAGCTGAACCCTGTGTCCAATGGTTTACATATGTAACTCCAATCACTTGGCGATATTGCTCGACTATCTTCCATTAACTACATTGGATCATTGCCTCACGCGCAACATAGTTTAGCCCTACTGGTCACGGCTTCTCACTAGAACTATTGAAAATACATATCAAAGTAAGTCACACGTAAGCACATGACTATTATTACTGTTGGAGGCTTGTAGATGTTGAATTTCCATAGAATGCATCATCCGTTGATTTTAGTGTCACAACCAGAAAGCACTTAAAAACTGTCAAGTTGTGGTACGAGACTCTTAAACAGTGTACATCCACGCCCCAACTAGAAATATTAACCGGAACCTTCGGTCTCGCGAGCACATAAATACTAGATTACTGAGCCGGTGAACAGTAATGTGAATATTTAAGTAGTCCTTTCGTTTGAAATTAAATTCACATTCACAAAGTATTCAAGCATAATTAACAAATTATCGAGTTCAGTTTTGTAAAATATCACCACAACTTACTGTTCATGGTTCAAATAATTTCGTATTGTTCGCTTAAAACAGTTTACCAAAAAAAGCATATCTTTCACTTAGTTCGTAGACGAATATAACGACTATATGAATAGAATATCATGAATTTTGATTGAAGTTTTGGTTCTCTGAGCTGGATGGTTTGGTCGTGGAGCTTTCATCGTTCTTCTGAACGATAACATCAGTACAAATTTCAGGTAGAAGTTATTTCATTAAGTTCTCGTCGTCTGCATATCATCTGTGTTCCTTTAAATTCATCATTATAAAATGAATTTAATCAGAAGTAGTTTTAACATACACACATCTGTGTGACTTAACAAGAATGTAAATCATTTTAAGAGACAAAATAAAATATTGCAAATGTATAGTTTTTATATGGAAGAAGAACATTGTACAATAGGTGTTGTTCTAATTTTCACAATGGAAATCTTTAATATTCTAAAATCGCGTGTGGACCCTGTTGCATTCAAGTCACTCAATAAGTTTCTGAAGTTTAATGCACATCTCACAGAAGCGAAAATGAGTTTAACAAAAGCAACTCAGAGTTCGTGTTACTCTACTCCAAACCTTTGAAATTATCTTAGTGTGAATTTCTTTCAGCTAAATAATATACTGACTTCACAATTTCAGAATATTTTTTTGTATATTATTATTTTCCCAATACACATAGTTGATCGTATTCAAGCTCGCCTTTATGGTGCATCTTTGGTCTGTGCTAATATTAGTCGTTGTTTGAAAGAACTTTCTTATCAATATGGTTTACAACTAGACAATTCGGTTCCTGTAAATCATCACTCTAATGGAAACAGAAAAATTGTAAAATATCCCGATTTTTTTATTTATTGTTGGCGTGGAGGTCAAAGATCTAATTCTTTAGCAACTATATTATCTGAAGTAGGCTGGCCGGGTAATATATATACACTTGTTGGTGGATATCGTTCTTGGCGTAGACTTCTACTTCGCCAGTTGGATGCATGGCCTCGTTGGTCTATACTAAGTCCGTTTTGGGTCATATCTGGTCTTACTGGTAAGTTTTTACACTAATGTTATTTGTCTTAACGGAATTATGTCATATGTATTTCTGGTGATTGATTTTAGAACGATACTACTTTTAATACCTTATGAGCGTTACTTTTTTAATCTTCAAGAGTGTGAGAAATGTGTATTTGTTGTTCAGTTACAAAATACAATCAGTTTATTAGTCATTATTTAGATTCGAACTCTTCTCCCACTATTTCGGTATAAGCAGTCACGTATTATCACCATCTGGTTTTCTAAGTTCTTCGATGTATAACGAAACATACGAGTCTGCATTTTTTTTACGGAATCCCAGCTTATACCTTCAACTGCAAAAGCTCAACCGAGGATTTATAACAACTGACGTATATCTTGAAATGTTCTTATTTGACTCTGTGTCGTCAATGATACATATTCTAAATTCGATATCCAGTAGGTTCATAGACATACACACCTCAAACTTCGCCAAATATTGATATTAGTGTAATTTCTCTATATTTCTCACATTTTGTATGATCTTTTTTTGGTACTTTGATGAGGTAACTTTCTTTCTACTCTGAGTTTGTGGGGAGGGGACGATGCCACTTATAACCATGTTGTTGAAAACACAGACTTGTCAATCTCTCACCATTCTCGTTTCTTTCTCCCAGTCTATGTCGCCCCATGATTTCTTCATACCCGTTGTTCACACCGACCCCGACGTTCAGGTACGTCATCAGGATGGTCATTTCTTTTTGTAGGTTACTCTGTACGATGGACTCTATTCTCTCATTAAATTTATCTTTATCATCGTCGCTGCTTTCATCGATGGGTGCGTAAAAGTGGATGAGTTTCTTCGTCATCTCTTCCTTTGTTTGTTTTGTAGGATGCTTCGATAATCCTGAAGCCATGACATTCCCATTTTATAGGCGCTCTTCTAGTTTCTTTGGAGAACATCAGTGCAACCGCTTGCGTATGTGGGACATTGTCTTCTTTATGATCATAATATAATAGCACTTACCAAAGATAGTCTTCATATAGACATTTCATGTACATATATTAATTGTGTTGTTCTGGTTTTTAGAAGGGGTTCTGACCTCGTGACTTATGAACTATTTTGGTTTTCATCATGAGGCATCATAACGCTTCTAAATGAAGACCTTTTGACTCTCAAGTTAGATTTCGAATGATTGTTACTGGTTGGTTTTTTTTACCAAGGTCGTTTTTATAGGATGGGATCGCTAATCCTATGATCAACCCTTTAGGACCGGGAGTAACCCTAGAATAGCTTTAGGTGTATTTTGACGAGAAACTAACGACGTAAAAAGGATTCGTGTTATTCTACTTAAAATTTTGTCCTTGCTCTCTTTAGGCTAGTATAAGGAACTATGTATATGAGTGTTTAATTTTTTTCCATTTCTTTCTTTGCTTGTTGATCACATAAAAGGTTCCGGGAAATCTTTAATACTTCAAGAGTTACACGATCATGGTGAAACCGTTTTCGATTTAGAAGCTTTGGCTAAACATAAAGGTTCAATGTTTGGTGGTGATTGTGTATTATCAAATAGTGACACTAGCGATCATCAAAGCTCTACCAATAAAGGTAGTCAACAAAAGTTTTTTGAATCTCAACTTCATCATGTAATGATGACAAATAAGCATCGATTGTCATCCTGCAAAAATATTTTATGGATCGAATGCGAATCACGGCATATTGGACCAGTTTGTGGGTTATCTGATGGTTTATGGTCACGATTAAGATCTACAGATCCAAATGTTGGCACCCATCGATTATGGATTGATATTACAGAAGAAGCAAGAGTTGCTTGGATTTTAGAAAATTATTCTATTGTTACTCGGAACGTTCCAAAAGTTCTAGCTATTCTCAAAAGGTGAGTATTGAGTGTATTGTGTGGAGTAAAAATTAATTCAAGTTTTCTTATTGACGATCTGCAATCATTAAATATCTCATCATAGTATATGTAATGTTGAGTTACTTGGACTACCAGACAGACATTTTTGATAAAATATATTTAGCAATAAAAGGTAAACGAGAAATTCTTCACTACTTAATGATCCATCGGTTGTAACACGAATAATCCAACCTATCGTCATAAGTTACATTTTTTTCATCAACTTTGTTTTTGCTTTCGGTTTTTTTTTAATAGATTAACTCAATTGGATAGCCCGAACATAGTTCTATTATGTGTAGGATAGAAGACGATAATCAGTGGTGAAAGTTATTCAGTTAAGTACAACTATTGATTACTGGGCAGTGGCTAGTATCATATTTGTATAGTCCTCAGTGTTAGTCAACTTTTATTGAACAATTTGCAATCTGGTCTGGTCTAAATGATTTAAAATTGCCTGGCCTATTTTTTTTATGGTAGGTATGTAGATAGATGACTGGAGGTAGTTGGTAAATATTTGTCATGCAGAATATCGGCATCCGCAAAACATCTGAGTGGTAACGTTTCAGACTGCGAGGCTGAACAACTCAGATGGGGATCCGGTAGTGAACAGTAATGCACTCAGGATCGCAATTGCACCTTGCTGACTAGTGTCATCTAGCTTATACTTTTCGATACCTGAGTATAAATTTTGTTTTTGACGTTAAGTTAAGATTCGACTCTGTAGACTGTGGCAGTGTCTATCATTTGAAAGCATACCAAAGACGTACATCAACCTTGTACAGGCACTTTACTCGAACACTGGTGGTTGAGTTAAAGCTTATGTCCAACTGTCAGAATTTTCAACCTCAAGTGCTGTTCGTCAGGGTTGTCTGCTTTCTCCATTTTTACTTAACTTTGTCATAGATATACTTTCAAAAATAATACATTCATCGTCTGACTTTTCAAGGATTGATCTCCCACCGAGATATTCCCTTGTTTTCTTAGTATACGCAGATGATATAGTTCTGTTTGGTGAAGGCACTGACAAAATTGATAATATTCTGAGCGCTTTAAAGAATAATGCAAGCATGTTTGGGATGTGTTTCTCTTTCTAAATGAAAAAATGTTGCTTCGACACTGGTCTGCATCAGCATCCAATTAATGACAAGTACGAAGTAGTTGAGTGCGTGTATTGCTACTCTTATCTTAGGAGTCTCATCAGTTCTGATTGGCTGTTGTCTAATGAAATCTCAACATGTATTCGAGAAGTTCGATCGACTTTTGCCAATTTGCATCACTTGTGATGTAAGCGAAATATCCGTCTTCCAACCGAAGGACGAGTTTACCACGCAGCAGTTCGCTTCATCCTTTTTTATGAATGTGAAACATGCCCATTAAGGGTAAGGGATATTCGTAGGTCACTAATATTCTATTATAGGTGTCTTCGAAGCATTGTTCACGTATTTTGTATCCATTTAGTACGCGATCATTGGGTTAGGAATAAGGTACTAAATAAGGATGGCTAATCGATTGATGAGTTAGTAAACCTTCACGAACTGAGGTGATTGAAACATGTGATACATATGCTCGACCAGTGCCTTCCTCGACGGTCGATTTCGTCTGATTTAGGAGTAATCTGGGAGATGGCTAGAAGAGACCAAACCAAGCCGTGGGGCCAATCCATGAAGTCATTGACAGTCGAACTGGGTTTAGATTGTCTGATTGAAGTCCATGTGATTATCGTAATCAGTGGTTAGAGACTTTGAATGACGTCGTGTAAATTGTTTGTAATGGCTCAAGCGCATCCACTTTTTGTCTTTTCGCGAATTTGACTTCATAAATCCCTCACATATTTCTTGTTTCACTAATTTATATTTTCTCAGATGGTATCTTCGATGTCCAATCTTTCGTATTACCAGTGTCACTATTACTATGTCTGCTATCGTATGATTTGACCTGAAAATTTCATCTTGGTGTGCTACTGGGTTATGGCAACTTGAACCGATGTACATATATAACAGGTTCTACTTTGAACAGACCGACTGACTTTTGTTTATAAAGTCCAATGTTCCATCACATACATACCTTTCCATCTTCTCTTTTCAAATCACATCCTCGATCACCAGTCTTCGTTATCAATGTTTTGTACAACATTATATCTGCCTTTCTTGTCGCTAATTTTTATCTCGTTTTGCTAATGTGGTATGTTTCGATGCACGTCTATGTCAGGCTTATATTGTTGATGATTCGCATAGTATAATTCTAGGACAATATCTCGTCATACTTTGAATCTACAGGGCTTGTAATATTCCGCTCTTTATATACTTTCATCTTTTCTTCGTTGGATTACATTAATGGCTTTAGTTGCCTCATAATTACCTAGTCGTTGTAATTAGGTGGAAAAAGAGAAACTTTTTATAAAATTGTATTTGTCTTATTTATGCTTGACTTCATTTAGTTTCTCTTTTTATTATAAATAGTTTAAATGAATATATACCAGATAAATTGATTAATCAGTGGACTGAAATGGTACATCGTGAAGATTTCACCAGTTTTGTAACCGGTTTACTTCGACATCATTATGATCCATTGTATTTAAAAAATCGTCGTCATATAATCGAAGATGCTAAAAAGAATGGTTTATTCCATCGTATCTCTCTTCATAGTGTTGACAGAACAACTATACAAACAAAAATTATACCACAGATATTGGATTTAGCATATACTACAAGTTCTTCTGATGTACAACAAAATCAGTTACCTAAAAGTCATATGGCTATTTAAACTTTTGCATTTTTCTTTTGTATCTTTATTCATATGAAACATATTTCATGTCTTGTTTATAACTAATATTAACACAGAATTGAGTAGCTTCAGTATTTTTGATATGGTTTATATCATTCTATTTAACTGTATATAATGGAAATACAAAATGTACACTTGCATGTATAGAACATTACCATAGTTATTCATAATGAGTTAGTTTATGCACAAAATGCAGTTAGAATCTTTTTTTTTGGGGGGGGGTATCTTTATTTGTAAGGATTAAACCAAATATAAGTTCTGGACAGAAATTCAATTTTCATTTTTTTATTGTTGTTGCATGTTTAGGTATGTGTCTGTTACAGATTTGTTTGAATTATGCTATTTATAATTAAAGTTAGTTGAGACGTTTGAAAAGAACTAAATGTAAAGATGTATACATTCGTAGACTGCCCTGGTACATCCGAGAGTGAGGAGAGTCCGCTCTCCCTCTCGAAATGCTCTCACATGGCCACGCGTATATAGCCTCTGCCAGGGAAGTCCTACTCACTGCCTTCCCGTGGCGGGGTGTTGTTTACAAAAATGAGAGGACGAAAAGCGAATGTCCGGCGCCTTAACCGGATTCCAAACCAATGGTACACATGGGTTCCAGTGTCCTGCGGGAACAAATGGCGTATGAACCAATTGTTGGTCACCGGCTTCCATGGGACTGCATCTCCTCACAATGCTCCACTGCCTTGTGGATCAGACCTTCAGGTCGAAGGCTCGGGGTGTGGCTCCCTAAGATAACCACCTGCTTCGGTTTGCGCACCCGGGCAGTATCACAGCCCTCACACATATCAAATGAGATTTGTGTGGCGCATATGTATTTGGTGCCTCCTTGTACCAACATCTATGTGTTAAAATAATAAAAATAAATAATAAGACTCCTCCACAGGGTGTATTCATGATCCGGAATGGGGGGCTCAAACCCAGCTTCGGTTTGGGCACTCGGGCAGTATTTCAGCCCTCACACATATCAAATGAGATTTGTGTGGAGCATATGTATATGGTGCCACCTTGTACCAATATCTATGTGTTCAAATATATTATAATAATAAATACCCAGGACCTTCGCACACTGCTAAGGAGTCCCATACTAGGATGAAGCGGTTGTCCAGTGCTTCCAGGTTTTCAAAAGTGATCTAACCTAAATCGATTCATGAATTTAACTATTAAATTAATACAATCTTCACAAACCCCCATTCTGAAAATAATGTTTTATTACTTCTGAATACTAATGACACTGTAGTTTGCTCTGAACGAACTATTAACGATTTTATCGCACATATGGTTTTCTCTCTATTAGATGGTTAGCCAGGAATCAGTCTACCAAAACACAACTCAAATCAAAACACGTAATTAGCCTGTTTACTACGTGTGGCAATAGATAACTGAGTAAGTAAAAAGACTAGGAAAATGTCTATGATACTCCATATACCTGTCATATTATCTACCGGTCTACCTGGATCACTGTCTACTTTTGTCTTACGCCTTTTACTCCTCGTGGAGGAGCATAAACCATCCCTAGCATTCTCAGTCGATCTCTGCTCTATGTAATCCTTTCCAGTTTCTATTCATTTTTTTTTCATATCTTCTTCCACTTCCCAACGCAATATGTTTTTTGGTCTTCCGCTTTTCCCTCCACCTAGGATTGCAAGTTGGGGTATAACTCGTAATGTAGTTTGAGAAGTCCCGTAATGTATTTCCTACCCACCTCGAACGTTTTTTTCTAATTTCCTCTTCATTTGGAAGCTGGTTTGTTCTCTTCCGCAGTAGGCTGTTGCTGATGATATCCGGTCAACGGACATTGAGTATCTTGTTTAGATAATTGTTTATAAATACTTCTACTTTTTTGATGAAGTTTGTGATAGTTCTCGAAGTTTCAGTTCCATACAGTAGAACTGTCTTGACATCCGCATTGAAGATTCTAACTTGAATGTTGGTTGAAAGTTGTTTTGAGTTCCATATGTTCTTCAATAGTAGGAATGCTGTCCTTTCTTTGCTAATCCTTGCCTTTACATCTACATCGCATCCTCTTATTTTATCGATGATCCTGCTGAGGTATGTAAAACTTTCCATCTCTACCTAAGCTTTTTCGTCAGGTGTGATTGCGTTAGTGTTCCCTGCATTGTATTTAAGCATCTTACTTCCCCCCTGTTGTACTTTTAAGGCTTTTGTCGGCTTGAAGCCTGGGTTTAAGGAGGAGGGTTGGGCATGGAGTCAGCGACCCGCTTCCCACAGGAAACAACCTTGTTGGAAAAAGATAACTAGAAAAAAAATTAAATCATACTTCTGTCTACACAACAATGTGTGTGGCCCTTGGTCTTTTTTGTTATTGTCAATCTCACTTTCTAGTAATTATCTGGCCAGATTGTACCTAATAACATAGAAACACGTTCCACTGCATTTGTATCCGGACTATGACTGAATGACAGTTTACCAGCTCTCAGTTTTTGGGAGACATTCGAAAGTGAAATATAGGCTAATATGGATAGATTTTAAGTGGTTAGATAAAAAAAGCCTTGTTTTAAAATAGAATCAAAGGTTAGTGTTAAGACTTTTATTGCAAACTGACATCGCCTACAGTTCAAGAATCCTAATCTTGCATCCTACCATAATTAATTATTTATTTGTCACTACTGTCTCCTGATTGACTGAAAGTGGTAAGATCTCAAGGTCTTTCTGTGATGTAGTACAGCTTTATCCAACATTACGTTTTTCACAGGATGTCTTGATTCCGTTATCTTGCCAATTGTTGAGTTTGTAAAATATCCATTTTTGAAAAGCTTATGCTGTGATGTTTTTATTATTAGAGCTGTTTACTATCGGCTAATATATTCTTTATATCAGCAATGATTAAGTCGTATATATGTCTAACATTTTAATCTGGTGGTTGTAGGTCAGTATTGATACAATGGATAAACTATATACCGTACTCTTCTGAATTTTCTTCCCTTATCCCAACTATATTCGATAGCCCAGTTAGTGGATATACTCAACATTTGATTAAAGCATTGATTGCATTCTCTCCCGAATCCTTAATTTATTTTTACATTAGAACACTAGAAAAAGATCATTTAATTTAATCAAACTTCAAAAATCATCTGATTATACACAAAAAAAGGAAGACTTAATTACTAACATGTACATAACTAGGGTTACTTATGGTACACAACTGAACAACATGTTTATAGTTAATTACCAGTACTTAATAAACAGAAAATTACATGCTAACAATTATTGAGTGAAATAATAGATTACAATTTCTGATCAGCCCTAATGGGTTGGTGTCTGACGAAATCTCAGCACGGATTCGAAAAACTCGCTTGGCTTTTGCCAACTTACGTCACCTATGGCGAAGTCGAGATATCCGTCTATCAATTAAGGGACGAGTATACTGCGCGGTAGTCCGTTCTGTTTTAACTTACGGCAGCGAAACATGGCCATTAAGAGTAGAAGACACTCGTAAGCTACTAATATTTGACCACAGATGTCTTAGAAATATTGCTCGCATCTTCTGGGATCACCGGGTGAGTAATAGTGAGGTTAGACGCAGGGTATTAGGGATTGGTGGTAAATCAGTTGATGAGGTTGTGAATCTTCATCGAATGAGATGGTTGGGCCACGTGCTAATGAGGTGTGGCAATTTGGACTGATGCATATATGTGTCTGATCCTACGTTGTAGATGACTGACTGACTGATCACAATCCAAATGTGTATGTATGTTATCGCATCCTCATAGGATTACTTTCAAATCGTCACATTTTCAATTATTCAACTAATCATAACATACATATGTAGCGTTTTTACCATCATAAGAATTATCATCTCTCACTTAATCCTAATGTAGTGAACAAGAACACGAGTGGGGACAATCGAATATATTTGAACATAATATATATTACAGAACGTCTTACTAAAATCTGAGAACCATACCGTAAATAGTTAATGTACAAAATATTAATCAATTGTGTCAAACTTGACTGTTCCATTTGCAAATATCAGTCCATCGTCTCGGATTTCATTGTTCTTCCATTTTCATATCAATCGTCTTCCGTTTCCGTTGTTTCCTTTTCGATCTTCTACTGAAATACATTCCATTCCTGACTATCGTTATATACTACTTATGTAGATATAAGTAGCTCACACCACACTAATGACTAGGTATCGGAAGTGTTTTATGCTGAATATTCTATTTAATTCATCAAACTTTGGCAATCTATTGACTGTTTATATCATTTCAATCTCAGGAACTGGTTTATTTACAATAAATTTTTAAATTTTAGGTATTCAAATGAATCTCTGTAATCATTTTATTAAATCTGTACGGTTATATACAAATTTCAATTCGGGAAACAAATTGTTTAAATCATTCAATTTCTCACCATTGAATCTTACTAAGTAAGCTGATTTTCATACACTTTTTTGTTACTGTTTGACTATACAAGATATGCTTTTCCATTTTATTCCTTAATTGATTACACTTAGTACTTTGATTATTAGTGTTTGAATATGGATTGGAATTCAGGACTTCACGTAATGGAACGTTATATACTGTACTAATTTTAGTCTACCAGTAGTCACGATCATAAATTAATATCAATTATTTCACCATTGTAATTTTTAAGACAGTCTTACTACATACACACTCAGCTTTAATAATCACATTTTTCGTTCAATCCAAATGGAACTATCAATAACATGCTAGATGTATTACTAAAGGCTACTCATAATATCACGACGTCATTGGTTTTCTAGAGTAATATAAATTTTATAATCCTTTATTACCTGCAAAAACAAATGATCTATTGTTGGGGATGTTAGATCCCTAGAACTCACTTGGGAAAGGACCTAATTTTGTAATTTTATGTAGAAAATTTGAATTTCTTTGTTTTCGCGGCAAAGGCGCTCTTCTCACCTTCATGTCGTATTTCTCACTGGGGTATATCTTAAATGCTATTGGTCCGTTGCGTCTTTTAGTATGCTATTTGGTAACTTTCCCCAAGGACGGTTTTGTACTGTATATATACGTTTTTAATTGTAATTGTTCTTATCGCTCGTTTCTGGCTGTTTGCAGAATATACTTCCCCATTCGAAGCTTGGTCTTCTCCCTCTAGTTAGCGGGGCTTGGACCCATCAATAGCTAGCTTACTGGTCTTTGGTCACCGAGTCTTGTTTCTCATTCGCAGATTATGTGAACTCGTGATAGCTTGAACCCTAGCATCTATGGTAGTTTAAAAATTAAAATTTAACTTGTATTTAGGTATTTTCTGGAAAAAGTAGATTTTTAATCTAAAGCATTACTTTCAATTTTCTTATCATCTTATTATTACTTATTATTACACATGATTAATTATCCCCAAAAATTTAACATTACGTTGTTTCAGAGGTAGTGCATACAACCACTATTAGGGAAGTCCTACATCATTGCCTTCTCGTGGAAGA